ATTAAAGATGTGTGCATCCACTGCCAGGTGTCCACCTGATTTTTTGAGGAGCTTACTGATACGGATAGACTAGCTGCCAGTGAGCCCCAGGGACCCTCTTCTATCTGCCTCCCCTACTGTGGGGGGTCACAGCCCGTCTTCTTACAGGGGAGCTGGGGATCCAAACTCAGGTCCTTAAATTTGTTCATCAGGCACTTTATTGACTAAGCATCTCCCCAGCTCAGGAAAGTTCTCCTTTGCTTCTTTCCTTAAAAAACAAAATACCCCACCCCAACTGGTTCCCTGAAGCTTGACTCCTCTAAGCTCTCCTCATGTTTTACAACCACCCTTCCTAGGTCAACTACTAAGGCTTTCCATGCTCTACCTTTCCCAGAGTACTGCTTAAATGGAATCTCACTCAGTGTCTGAGATTTGCCCATTCAGAGACAGTTCAGTCACTTTACTTTGGAGTCACACCCCACCGTGTGGATGCTCCATGATGTGCTTACCTGTTAAAAGACTGATCAGTTATTTCCAATTTGCATCATTTATGAATAAAGCTACCGGGTAAAGTTGCCCACTAGTTTTTGTGGGGGGCAAGCTTCATTTCTCCTGTGTAAATGTCTAGGAGAGGAGGTGATAGACCATGCTGTCGGAGATATACGGGTATAAGCTTCATCTATAACCACCTTCTCTGTGAGCACCACAGAATCAAGCCTGCCATGCCACACTGCAGTGCTGGACCTACGAAACACTTCCTTCCTTTAGCAAACCACTTTCTAGTGTATTCTATATTTACTACTGTAGTTATTATTTAAGAATCTTTCCTTCCTTCCTTCCTTTGCCATTTCACCCACCCTGCTAAAATATATTTAATAAATGTAGGAAGCTGGTGTCACATGTGCTGACATCTCCCAAGCATTTACAACAACACCTGAAACACAGGTAAATAGTTATGGAGTAAATTAGTATTAGCTTAGACCCTAACTAAGATAGCACCTGAAGAAGTCCAGGTGTGGTCAATTTTAGGAGGGTAACATCCGAGGAAAATAAGACCTCCAGTGTGTTTGCTGACACTGTAAGAGCTGGCTTGGTTTTTCAATGAGATCAGATGAGATCCGGTCCATTCGGGGTGGTATGGCCACAGACAAAAGTTTGTTTCTTTATACAGAGATCTTGCTGGGCAAAAACTATTCTACAAAGCTGCCCCCCACCCCACCCCACCCCATTTAAAGAGAGCGTTTCACCTATAGCTCAGGCTGACCTGAATTCACAATCTTCCTGCTCCAGCCTCCCACAGGCTCGGCTTACTGGTATGCACTATGCTCAGCTTTCCTAGTGGAGAAGGCAAGTAAGAATGCCCAGGTTCATACATAGAAAGGTATCCTGGGGTACAGAGGTCTAGCTTTCTCTTTCTATAATTTTCTGCATCTCTGTACAGTGGCCCCCGCTGACAGTGGCTTTATTTTCTTAATCTAAGCTCTATTCGAATTACCCTTCCATTCCTTTTTTATCCTCGGGGAAAGCAAGAGCAGTTACTGCCAGGGCATTCTCACGTTTCCCACAGAAATGGCATAGGTGTTAATCTTGTATTTATGTTTGATGTGGGTAATGATGGCTGTGACTGGAGCCGTGGTTTATTAATATGCAGGGCTCTCACCTCATTAGTGGTGATGTGTGTTTTGAAGTTAAGCTGCAGTGTTTGCTGGAATGTCGGATGTGGCCCAGCACACATTCTCACTGTTCACTTTCTTTGTTTTTACTCACGGTCAGCACAGGCTGCGCTCACAGGGAACTCACTTATATCTGACAACGAAGACAGCTTTTCCACAGTAGTTAATCTTCGTAGGCATTTCAAACATTTTAAATAAGTATATTTTCATGTAATGTCATCACATTTGCTTTAAGCTTAGAAAAAGGAATTATGGAATTTTTGACCCTGTATCACAAAGCACAATAAACTCTCTCCTTAGCTGGATTTGGTGATGGAGTATTCTTATTGATTGGATGAAGTGATTAATTCATAGTGACAATAAAAATCCATCTACAGGACTAACATTTGATCATACACAAAGTCATCTAACATCTATCATCCCAAATATTAAAATGCTATACAAGAGAAACAGCTGGCCGAATAGAAGCCTTGGTGGTCCAGCCTGGAAAGTAGCCATTGACCTCCAGGTCCCACCATTTCCAGGTGACACAATGTGCAGCCGAGTTAACTAATGGGACCCGACTAATAAGCATCATGGGATGAAGGTTCAGGGCCGCTTCTTGTTTAGACTTTACTCTGCTCTACCGAGAAAAAAGCTCTGGACTTAATTCATCCATTTTTCTGTAGTAGTAAAAAAAAAAAAAAAAAAAAAAAAAAAACCCAGACACCAAACCAAGCCATTTACACGGGAGAAGTCTGTTCTTTTGTATCAGGCAAGCAAACACGTCTCTAGTTCTGCATGTTCAGAAGCGCGTGCTCCTGAGTGTAAAGTAATGTCGTTTTAATAATTCTCTGCTGATCAGAGGAGAACTCAGGTTCTCAGTTCTCAGACCAACACAAAGCAGGACAGCTCAGACCACTCATTAGTGTTTTGTTCCTCTTCTTTTCACCGGCTGTCTTCTCACATAGCCTAGACCAGACTCCCCAGCCTCCATAAAAGGACCCCGCTTTGATTTGACAATGTGACACATATTCAGATGTATTCCCATCATCAATCAGAGGAAGCAAAAATGAGTCTATGTGTGTGTAAGAAGGAACAGCAGTGAGCGTATATACAGTACAAGTGTATAAACAACCGTATTACCTACTTAATTGCCTTAGCTGAACTTAAAAGCTCTGATCTTTAATTGCCTGATTGAACTCATCTAGAAAGCTACAATTTTTTAATCAAGGAGAAAATTAAATAGCTTTTTGGTAAATAAAAAGGCATCTTTAATCTTATTTTTATGAAATCCAAGTTATTAAATATGGACAAAACCTATTCAATTTAGGCTAAGTTTCTCAGCACAGCCCTTTACAAAAGTCTTCAGGGCTCCGACTTCTTTCACTCTACAGTCAGAAGGTAAAAGCCTCGGTGAATAGCTATGTGACTCCAAGGCCAAACATGTAAAACTATTGTGTGAGGTGTATCACCACAGCATGCTTTCCGAGACGGGGTGCCTATTATTAGGCAGCAACAGTCACCATCCTAACTAGGCAGCTGCACATTACTTCCCTGATTTGTGCTTAAAACTGAAGTCCCTGGAGAGGGCTTGAGGCACCCCACCCAGCCCCATTGCTCTTGCGGACCCCTCCTGAAGTAATATTTTATGCAGGCTTACTCTGGGTGTTGAGTGGGCCACAAAAACCTGACAAAAGACCCAGGATTCTCTTTGGAAACCTCTGTATCAGCAATCAGCCAAGGCACCACAACCGTGTCCTACAACATACCAAAAAAACCCATCCTTTCTGAGCCCAGGCTGCAAACAAGAGAAGTATACACTGGTCAGCAAAGGCTCTAGTCAACTGTGCCTGCCTAAATGACCAGAGGAGAACTTTCCTGGTAATCTGACCCTAGGCTTTATTTTCAGAGCCCCACAAATCCATCTGAGACATGTCCACCAGTTACACCATATCCACTATAGAGTTACAGCTGGGGAGAATTCATTATTTCAGAATGATTCTGTCTGCCTAGAGTACAGAACAACCCTAAGTTTCAATTTATAACAACACTCCCATTTCCACAGCACGGTCCTTTTAATGAAGGCTTTGCTACTGAGCATTGATGCCTTCCCTCAGATCCCATGCCAAATGAATAGCAGACGTCTAGAAAAGGCAAGCAAAGGCTAGGTACCGGGCACTGGCTGTAATGGCTCCACGGGTGCTATACAGGGGCAGAAGTACATGGAAGAGACAGCAGAGCTGCCAACCAGGTTAAAATGTCTCCTTTCTTTTACACATTACTCACCAGATGTGTTCACATATCGACACCCAGGGAAATGATACTAACCCAGCGCGGCTCACTCTCTCAGCCACCACTTCGGTAGCATTTACACTCTAGAAACAGAATGGTTTCACAGGGATGGAGGAGGGTGGGGGCAGGGGCTAAGATTTCATTTAGTCAGCACGAATGCCTTAAAGAACTGAACATTATGCTTTTCCAGATGTAGATATTCTCTTTAAAAAGGATGAAGAAGATTGGAAGCATGGGGCTATTGAGACCATCTACAAAGAACACAGGCTGGGTAGGAGCCTTTAGCTGAAGATAGGGTGAGTTCCCCCCGCCCCCAAAACTTACACTCGCTTTCTTAGGGAAAAAAAGAATTAAAATAAATAAATAAATAAAACCTTTAAAAACAACAACAAAACCCCTTTCCTTTAATTGCATCTCACTGTACCCCTCTGCATTACCCAAATATACACAGAACCAGGATAAGCAGATATGTACTAAGTTGAATTGGTGGCTTGGCTTTGTTACCATCTCTTTCTCTTTTCAGAATTTGCTTCACATGAATTCTGATGTTTTGGGAAACTAAACAAAGAAAATGAGGCTTCTCCTGTAACATGCAACAGTTACCAGATCATTCTCTTTCATGTCACCAGAACAAGTGAGCAATTCTGATTCTTCCCTAGGGCTTTGTCTAAAGTTTCATTTCCAGGGAACAAGGAAGCAGTCTCCAGGAAGACACCTGCAGTTCTCTAAGGAACTGTGGAAAGGGGAGGGCTGTACCCAGAGTTAAATAACACAGCTTGCCATTCTCAAATAGTTCAAGATCTGTTTTGCATGTTTGATAAACATGATTCACAAAAATATAACTCCCTAGTCTGCACTTGCAACAGATAAACAAATAAATAAACAAAAGGGGGAAAAAGATGGAAATAAGAGGGAGAAAATAAAAAAAGTAACATTTACAAATAATCACATTTATGGTCATATTAGCTGGCTGAAAAAAATTTTTTTTTTTTTGTTCTTTGTTTTTTTAACCAAGTTAATTGCAGAGCCTTCTCCATTCCCACAATAGGTTGATGTGTGAAACCCAGAACATACCTCTGTGTAAAATCTTTAAACTCCACAAATAGGTAAGGCCTTTAACAACCTAAAATTATGAAAGAGAAAACAGAACAATTATGGACATTATAGGAGATACTCCACAGTTAAACAAATCCACCACAAATTTTCCCTGAACCACTATTAAAGGGAACCCACCTCTTGAACACCCCCATCTGTGTGGGCTCTCTGGGGTACCAACTGCAGAGCTCCATAGCTCTTGCTAGCGGCTAACTATACTCTGAAGATTGGGTGTGTCCGGAAAGAGATGACCTTGTGTCACAGAATACACTAAACCCACAGTGGTGCTATGGGCAGGTTAGGAAGGCAGAAAAGAGGAAGAGGAACAAGGACGTTTAAAACAATTCTTCAATATTTCTGTGTGTGTGTGTGTGTGTGTGTGTGTGTGTGTGTGTGTGTGTGTGTTTTCCAGACAGGGTTTTTCTGTGAAACTGCCCTGGCTCTCCTGGAGCTAGCTCTGTAGACAAGGCTGGCTGGCCTCAAACTCAAAGAGATCCACCTGCCTTTGCCTCCCACATGGCTGGGATTAAAGACATGTGCTACCATGTTTGGCCTCTGTGTAGTTTTCAAAAAAATTATTTTTATTTTATGCGTGAGAGTGTTTGCCTGCATAAATGAATGTGTTCTATGTGTGCTTGGTGGTCATGGAGGCTAGAAGAGGGTATCGTGTCTCCAGAACCAGAGTTACACACAGTTGTGAGTTGCCACATGGGAACTGCGAACTAAGCCTGGGTCGTTTTAACTGCTGAGCCATCTCTCTGGTCAGTCCCTGAGTGACTTTTAAAAATCATGCTATTTATGATAAAGGACATTTTTTTATTTTTATTTTTTGATAATGCTGGAGCGTAGGCCCAGGGCCTGTGTGCTGCGTTGATGAACGACATCTTTAGCCCAAGAACATGTGAAAAAAGTGACTCAGGAAAGGAAGCAGCTAAAGCAGAGATCACTTTTCCCAATAGCAGCTAGGGAAGCCTGATCAAGATCCCAGGTCTTGAGTGGCAAACTTAACTGACGTGAAAAAAAGAGAGAAAGCACTGGGCCAAGCCAAAGATACATCAGTCAGATGTGGAAACTGTTCTGTTCACTGGTGGACTCTGACCTGGGCTCTGTGGGAACTCCTAATGATTACGACTTTCAAAACCTTTCTGGAATCTTAAAATAAAATAAAAATTAAAAATAATTTTAAGAAGGGTTGTAATTACTGTACAGGAAATAATAAAATGCACCGAGATGACTGTAGAAGGCACATTTGGTGCACAAAGCATGCATGGGGAGCAAATAAGCAGACAGCATCAGGGTGTAGGCTGGAGAGGAAATGGGCAAGTAGCATGGCATAAATTCCACCCCATCTTCCTTTTTAACTGCCAGAGTTAAGAAAGATGGTTGGATAAAATTCTGAAAAAGACTTGAACTATACAGGCTGCAATCACTACTTTCTCTATGGAAAATGTAATCAGAAATTGCCATTAGGATCTTTCAGTCTTGAGCTGAATGTGTGGTGGACTAGTAAAGGGTTTAGCTAGGCGGCAGGATATCCTAAGTACAGATCATAGCACATTAAACAAGTAAAAAATAAATCTTCAAAACAAAGTGGTTGTTACATGAAATGCATGTTTTATTTACAGCACGTGAACAGAAACTTACATTTTCTAGGTTTAATATTCATAATCAGATTTAAAAGAAAAACAGTGAACAAATTGCTGTTACTTAAAATGTACTTAGAAGCATTTAATAGAATGCTTCTGTTTGAGTCAGGACTATGTAATAAGAAAACCCACCATGATGAGAAATAACTAAGGGGCTTGTGTACCTCAAACATGACTTTAGAAAAGGAGGGTTAGGGCTCCATATACAAAGGATTTGGTTGATCAAAAAATGACTAATAGCAATAGTAAACATTGGAAATACAAACAGAGAAAAGTAATTCCCAAATGTTAAAGACCTAGAAACCAACTCCATGTCAGTTAATGCTGAAAGAGGCCAGCCTGAAGGTACTGGTGGGGGGGATCAACTAATAATACAGTGCTCAAGTCTATTCCTTATTTACCAGAATACATTTTTTTCAAAAAAATTTTTTAGAGATAGGGCTTCTCCTGTAATTTGCTCTGTAGACCAGGCTGGCCTTAAAATCACAGAGATCTGACTGCCTCTGCTTATAAATACATATAAATGTTATGATAATAAAATTAGAATATGCATTTAAAATAAAAGCATAAACGATGATGATAGTTTATAATCAATGGAAATAAGACAAATGTTTATAAAAGAAATCAGCAATGAAAACAGCTTTTCTTTGAGTAGTAAGGGGAGGCCCCATGGTTAGTGTGGGAGCATGAGGAAGTAGGGTTCAACTTCCTGACTCAGAAGCTTAACTATGTACTGTGAGATTTCCCTGTTACAGGCTGTGTTTTACCAACGCTAGCTCAACAGCAAACAAATGGTCAGAAAACACACAGACAAGATACAACCCACTGGATTCAGATTGCAAAGTGGTAAAAGAAACACAATACTGATTTTATGATAGTTAGTAAACCATAAATTTTATTAGAGATTAAAAAAGAACTAGTATTTCTCCAACTTGGAAAATAGATGATATCTCCCTTGAATGTGTGTATACATGAGCAGGAAATCTGTCCACTAATCTGGAGTACCATTGTAATTCAGTAGGCTAGGCTGCATGAAAGCTCCTAACAAAGCCTTGACACTAACAGTACTTATATCTGCTGTCAATCATTCACTCCTTGACATGTCAAGTGCTCATCTTTTTAGGGACAATGTCAATCAACATTACCATTAGCATTCAAAGTACAGCACAGTGTGCCGCTGCTTTAGACCTAGGAAAGAAATAAATGTGGGGCAGTGGAGAAAGGCACTCTTCTTTGTAAGGAGCTAGATCCAGTGGACAGAAGTCTAGGAGCTGGGAGGCTAAGATCAGGTACATTTTGTAGATTTCTTCAAGGGAAAAACACTCTCTTTCCATATATCCTACAGGAGAAAGTTTGAGCCACATCTCACAGATGCTGACATAGTCATCTGGGGATGGCCTTCAGGTCTGTGAATCTGCCTTGCATGCAAGATTACCAGGAACCAGGAAAACTAAGTTCATTTTGGGGTAAGATCCATAAAAGAGAAGATCTTCAGGCTGAACACAAGCCTGGAGTCCCAGGGGACTGAGGCTTGGGAAGGAGCTGAGCCCAGGCAATCAGAACCCCCAGAGCAACATCTTCTTTTCAGGATGCCACTTGAAAAAAGACTCTGAAGCAGCTGTGTGTTTGTATATGCTTCTCCACTATTCCCTCATTCTTATCCTTACCTTTTTCTCCCCCCCTCCCTCTCTGTTTCAACCTGCTTTCCTCTTTAATTCCTTCTCTTCCAACCCCTGCCCCAACTTCTCAGAAAACAGGGTGAAGGGTCAGTGGCCCTGCATCTAGGATAGCACTGGTCGGGGTAAGTTATTTAACTGTCTTAACTGTTCTGTACTGAAGTGCTCAACCATCCTTACATTACAGAGCTGCTCAGGTGGCATACTCAGACATAAGTAGATCACAGAGAATGGCACTCAAGTACTCACACAGACACATCTGATTCTGTTGTTGGGCTGGACAGAGCCGAGGCTATTTGATGTGCCTTCTTGGCCCCACTGAGGAACTCAAAGGAATGAAACTGATGCTATCTTTGAAACACTCAGGAAAAGTAACCAGGGAAACTGGGAACCAGAACCGGCTGTATGCACATGCATCTTATAAGCCACAAGGGACCACCCATCAAGGTGATAAGATGCTATCCCGAGGCCAGAGTGGAAAAGGATCATCCATGTTTGGAGTCTATCCAGACTATACACACACACACACACACACACACGCACGCACGCACGCACGCACACACACACCACTCTGAAGGTACTACACAAGTGTAGGGCACCAACAGAGTTTATAAAACTGTCAGAAAAGCAAAGTTGTCCAATATGTGTCTTCTGCTCCTACCACTAAAGCTTGTATCCCTGGGGCCTGGAGCACTGCAAAAGTGGAGGAACAGGCCTTGTTTTGTAGAGTCTGCCAGGGATTAAAAAACCTGGACTAGCACTCATTTTAATGCTTCTAGCTAAAATAGTATTTTGCAATATTTACAATCACTGAAAATCCATATTTAAAGCTGGCCGTTTTTCTGCTGACTCAACACTTTACAACCTTCCCATCCTGGTTCAATCAGAAAGCCCAGTGGCCTTGTTTGTACTCTTTGAGGGAGTGAAGCAAGATTGATGAGGTCGGGAAGAACACGCTTCTTTACTGAACAAGGTGGATTTCTATTTTCCCAAGTTCAGTAGAGGAGAGAAACACAGGACTCGTGGGCTCCCCTGGTTTCCAGCAGCTCTCTTGCCTCTTTTTGCCCTTTATTATACACGTTACTAAACTCTAGAGACAAGAACTGCCAAAAGCCACAAAGCAATCATTCCCCTCGGAGATGAGAAGAGGAAAGGAAACATTTTTATTTTCATCTAAAACTCTGATTTAAACACTCAGATTGCATCCTGACTAATCTGCCTCATGTGTAGATTAGAAGCTGCTCCGCAGAGGCAGACAGAAAGGAGAGTGTGTGCATCACCCTGGGCAGTTCACACCAATAATTAGAAAGAAAAAAGGAAAGCTGTGAATTACAATGAACTAAGCCTGAATAAGTGTCCATGTTGGATTAAAGAATTTGAGTTGTCAGTTTGATGTATAATGAATGTGAAAATAAGCCATTTAATTAAATGGTACATGATATAATCACTTTGTTCTGCATTAAACCACTTAATTTAACAGAGCATCTTTACTTTAGCAATTGTTTACGATTACAACACCCAGTGACTCTTCTTAAGACACGGTTAGCTTACATTATTCCAAATCTCAAATCTGGGGCTTACATAATCATGCCAGTTTAGATGATATAATTTGTCTATTTATGAGTACAGAAGACAGGAAAACTGCTTTTCCTCACGAAGGGCACAGAACCCTGCATAAAGTCTTTAAAAGACAAGATAAAGACTAAAACCAAAGCATAAGAAGACTGAAAAACCATTTAAGAGAAAATGTATTTTGTTCACAGACTATTCCACTAATTTATTTTCAAATTCTGTAACTAAAAATGTCCTCTGTATCAGTTTTCTCTTTGATGAACTTAGAAACCCAGGCACTGAAGTCTCTGTAATCATAGTACTGACAAGCCAGAGGGACTATGCTGGAGGTTAGCCCACAAAGAGAAGAAGACAGAAACAATGGATGGTAAGAAGGACACAACAGCCAGCTGGGACAGAAAGAAAGAACACATCTGAGGACAGAGGAATAGACTTGACTGGAAGGATTAAATAATCAAAACCCTCTTAGGTGAAGCCAATATACTTACTGCCACTGCAATTCTTCCCAGGACATGCTCTGGAATTTTCCTATATACATCCAAAGAACCCCCTGTAGAGACAAAGATGTTGTATTACTATAAATGAATCACTGGCACAGTGCTCTGGACTCTCCTTTGTGCATGCCTCGTGAAAATGTGCTTTCCATTTTCTTATGACACATTCTACATATGGAGAGCAAAGTTGGGTTTTAGTTCTGCTTTGAGGAATGATATAATTGTACTCCCGGAAGAGCATGGCCAGTTACTCCCATTTAAAAATTCACAGTCATTAAAAACTGAAGAAAACTAGAGGGTAGACTACAACCTGCCCTCTACGTAAATGTAGATGGAAACAAAACTATAAAACTGAACCTGATGGCCACACTGGCCATCATGCTTCATGTGCCACTTTTCCATGTGGGAACCCGGAGACGCTATCTCAGAATTTTCACACTCATCAAACAAATGTTGGTGGGTAACTAAGTTTTCTAACTGAAGTTACTTTGACATTAGGTAGCATAAAAAGCAACTGGCCATCTCCTGGCTCCTTGATGAAAATCAATCACAAAAACAAAACAATCTCTTCAAGTTCTAACGCGTTTTATTTTAATTATATTTCATTTATTTGTTGTGTGTACGCATGGGATGTGTGTATGCAGCTGTGGAGGTCAGAGGTCAGCTTTTGAGAGCATGTTTTCTCCTCCCACTGAGGACTGAGCTGAGGTCACTGGGCTTGGCTTGCAGGTGACCTGGCTTGCAGCACCATCTCACTGCTTCTCCTGTTTATTTTTACAATACTGTGACTCGTTACTGTACTGCTTTATTTGTTAACTTCAACTTTTGTTAAATCCCCTTTGACAATTTCCAAAACCGAAAAAACCACTAAACAGATCTGTCCTATTGTCCTTTCCATGCTCTTCGGCGATGAGCATTGGCAGAGAAAAAAACAACACGGCACAGCCCCCCAGAATCAGGAGACCCGCCACCTGATGAGTGCTCTGTGTAGCTCAGGCCTTCTTGAGTTTTTTGTTTGTTTGTATGCTTTTGACTTTGAAACAGGGTCTCACTATACAGCCCTGGCTTGTCTGGATCTCACTTTGTAGACTAGGTTGGTCTCACACTCAGAGATCCAGCTGCTTCTGCCTTCTGAGTGCTGGGATTAGTGTGCTCCATTATACCTGGCTAGCCATTCTTAGGCTAAAAATGGCAGAGGATTTGGGTTTAATTCTTACTCAGTTCCACTATCATTTCTGTCCTATACATCAAGCCAAAAAGGTCACTCTTAGACTTATCAAAAGAAACATCAGTTCTAGAAGAAACACTAATCTCACTGACTCTGAGGCTCTGAAGCAGCCTCTAGAAAAGGACTTTAAAATGAGCACAGCAACAGCATCACCACAGTCCCCAGAATAAGAGCCCAACTCATTGGGAAGTACAAACAGGAATGTGTGTTAAGAATCTCAACAACATAACTTATATACACTCTGCAGGGAAGGAATACTTTACCCACTAACAATACGGTGAGAACTAAGTCAAAAATACATAATATCTCCTTAAGAGTCAAACTGAGGTGTAGTCTTTCATTGCTATGGAGAGGGTACCTAGGATATTTGGGAAGTAACTTTTTTTTTTTGTTTTTGTCAAGGCTAACATTTCACATCTATGATGTGCCTACTGATAATTTTAAAAACACCTAAAAAGGTTTGAAGATGAAACATGTCACTTTTCTGAAAGGCAGCTAAGGACAGCCTCTGTGCAAATAGACTATTATGGTATGTCATGTTCCCCAAAGCTACTGTTCTGTTAAAAATGGCACACATCACAGAGGTATATATCTTCCTATGTACCCTGATGAAAGCAGGTGTAGGAAAGCGATCCCTCCTTTAGATAACTTCTTGCAGATCCCAGACTCTCAGCACAGGCTGAGTAACCAGGGTATAACTAACTTTATGCTATGGCTCCCAGAGATACTAGGAGATATGAAAAAAACAAAACAAAACACTCATGCAGTGAGTGGAAACATCCTTATTTACCAAAACATTTGTATTATAGATGTAATAAAAGTGAAAATGTGACAGAAAAACAGTTGTGTTCCCATTGATTTTTTTTTTTTCCAGGTAAACTGGTAGTTGCACGGATGAGTAAGTTCAGGATGAAAAAGCTCGACATGTGGTATCTGGAAAAACGACAGTATCAGCTTACTATACCAATTCCTTAGGAAACCAATGGACTCAACACTTGGGGGAATGAGTGACCCTCATGCACCAACAAGGAGTCCAAGAAGGGGATTTAGTTTATGTAAGTTATAGAAGAGGCTATAAGGACCTAAGTGGACAGTAGTCTCACCAAGCTAAACTAAACCAAAGGTGACATGACAACCATTACCAATAGAATAAGAAAAAAGGAATCTTATTTGGAGGTAGTTCACTGGCACTTGTAAACACCCCTGTAGTCCTCAGCTGCCCATCTGGACAGGCCGTTATGTAGCTGGCTCTGTGACATCAGGTATACCCCACCCTTCCCATGCTCACAGAGATAAATTAGGAGGTGAAAAGCTGATATTGCAGGTCCACTCGGTCAAGAGAGCCTGTTAATTCCAATGAGACTCACTTTCAGCAGGCTACATGGCGGAGGGTTTGGGTTAGTCTTCAGTTGTTTCAGTACCAGCTCTATTTTATACACCACTCCATAAAAGGCAACTTTTTCTTAGCACGTCATAAATGTCAGTGTTAGAAGGAGTGTTAATGATGAATCCAGAAGGAGAGGCAGGTGTTTCTCTGTGAGTTCGAGACCAGCCTGGTCTACAAGAGTTAGTTCCTGGACAGGCTCCAAAGCTACACAGAGAAACCCTGTCTCAAACACATTCTTCCCCTCACCCCTCCAAATGACAGACTCCATCAACCTTATTCAATTTTATTTGAAACTAAGTCCCATAAATGCAAATGTAGCAATCACACGCAAGAGTCAGCTGATGGCAGAGTTCAGAGAGACCCAAACCTCTGAATTCCCCAAACAAACTCCCCTCTTTCCCAACATGACATAGCAATAGAATCGTGTGACCTTTATGTGCATCCTACATCTCTGCCACATCATATGATGCCACAAACTGATAGTTGTATGTTGCCTGAGATTTGTTATTCAAGACTGTGTTTTGACTGGACTGAGGATGGGTCCTGGGATCTCGGGCACTCGAGGCAAAGCCCATCCCAATGCCTTTTGGAATTCACTTGTCTGTGGTTCCAGCATGGGAACTTTTAGCTCCTTATTTAGGTCACAGGCTTGTTCCTTATGAGTGTCACTCTGTTTTCCCTGGCCATCCCCACCCTCCACAACCACTTATTATACTGCATGCCACCGTCTACATGTAAGCCAGAGGAAGACTGCTCATAGAGCAGCAGAAACCCAGGTAAATTACTGAAGAGCCATGTGTTTCTGCTGATAGATTAGGACTACCATCTTCACTTAAGCAGAGTTAAAGTTCTGTTCTAACATGTTACAATATCTAAACTGCCAAGTAGTGTCTTTCCACATAGGATAAATAAGTAAGTATAAATATGAAGTGAGGAGTGAGAAGCAATGATACCATGATGATAATCTCTAATCTATCTGAAATGGCCACAGTCATTATCGAGAACAATGTGAGCAATAATAATAATAATAATAATAATAATAATAATAATAATAATAATAATACAAGATCTCTTTAAAAGATTTTACTAGTTAAAAATATAAAAACTCTTTCCTTTTTTTATAATACAGGATTTCTTTTTTTCTTTTTTTTGGGGGGGGGAGCAATTTATTTCTGTGACAATGACCCAAACATGTTCGTACTCTGAGATCTTCCAGCTGGATATTTCTGAGTAGAATTTGTTTTGACTGAGTATGAGGTTGGGTCACATTCTTTCCCTAAAAACCTTCCCAATATCTTCCTAATAAATTCAGCCTCAAACATAAACTCCTTGACATAGCCTCTGTGGCCATGAGGTCTTGATTGGTTCTATGCTCTGCTCATTCATGCCTCCTGGCTAGCCTCTGGTCCTTACAGCATCACTCTCTAGCCACCATGGTGGTCTTGCGTTCATCTGGAAGTAGTATACATGCTACTCCCTCTGTCTATAAGAGCATCCCAGTGATCCTTGAATACCTCAATAAGGTTTCTGCTCATTGTCACTTCTGTCTCTGATGTCCCATTCAGCACCTGCACTATTAGCCTACCCATCCTGTTTCATGCTCTCATGAATTCTCCCTGAGAATGTACCATATGTCTTTAGAATATACCCTGTGAGGACAAGGGTTACTCTAAAATACGTATCCTATGAGGACAAGGGCTAAGACTTAGTCACTGTGTTGTCAATAGGTTTAGAGCAATACTGGAAGAAAATGTTCAGTAAATATTGCAAATAGATCATACTATGAGATAAATATAAGCTAATCAGAGAGGAGGTTGTCCAGAAATTGGACTGCACAGGAGAAGGAATAAAATATAGAGGGTGACACACAAATTTATAGTGATTTTTGTGTGCTTTTGTTATATATGACCAGAAGATGGTACGCTAACACCCAAAACGCCCTATCTATATAACTAAGATAAACCATATTTAAAGACATAAAGGGAGGTATGAAGCTAGCACCTTCTGCCTGAAACAGATTATTAATAAAGAGTTAGAAATTACAAGGAACAAAACAGGAACATCTGAGGTTAAATGTAGTTACTGAAAGACAGGATCAATAGCACAAGAAGGCATAAGAAAGATACAATACAGAACAAGCATTCCTGCTCGCTGAGCCCTCTTGATGGCTGGGGATATGTCCTCTCTTGGTGCCATGCACACCGTAGTACACCACTGTGTATGTGTGCTGCTGGTCAGTTCTCTTGGGTTTCTGTAGTAGCAGACTTGGTAAGGCCTGCGGTAACTTTAATTTGTGAACAAGTGTCAAGCTGTTTAGTCTATTTTATGCCATTTCAGATTCAAACCAATTTTGTCTGAGGATTCCAACTTCTCCATGCCTTTGCCGACAATTATTTTTACATCGTTGATTTTGGTTTTTAATGTGTGTATGGTCTCAGGTGTGAACATGTACTTAGTTTTGATTTAGGTTTCCTTAACCACTGCTGTTGAATATCTTTTCATGTACATATTCCTTTGAGAAATACACATTCAAATCCATTGTCTGTTTTTTAAGTGGTGTTTTTATTGCTGATTTTTTTTTTTTTTTAATTATAGTAACTGCAAATGATTTGAACACTGACAGACTGGAACACCTTGAAAGTTCCTCAGAAATGAGGAGTTGCCACAGGTTCTGGCAACTTCACTACCATCAAGCCCGATGACCTGAATTTGATCCTGGTGACCCACGTGGTGGAAGGGGAGAGTCAGCTCCCACAAGCTGTCCTTTGACCTCCAGTGGCAAGCAGCAGCACACATGCATACTTGCACGTGCATTCATTCATTCGCACAGATACACACCACAAAAAAATACACTTTTTAAATGTAAAAAGTGGAAATACCTCAAGTGACCATCGACTAAAGAAAAACAAATGCTGTATAGCCACTCAATGAAATACTATTCAGTGCTGAAAAGGGATGGTGGACTGCTACTGATGAACTTGGGAACAATATGCATAGCCAGCGATGCCAGGTACAAAGGCTGTAATCTACAGGATCCCATTGATGTGCAATGTACAAAACCCAGAATAGGCACATCCAGAGGCAGGAAGAAGACTGATGACTGCCGGGGGAGATAGAGGGGATGAGATGAGCAACTTATGTTGGCTGGGGATCTCTCTTCAGAATGTTTTGAAATTAGACAACAATAATTTGTAGGTTTCAAAAAGGTGAATTTTATAGTATCTGAATTCTACCTTAATAAAAACTATTTTATGTAGATCTTAAATGGTGAATGTTCAAAAGAGTGACCTGTACTGGGATTATGAATCCATGCTTTCTAATCAGTGTCCATCTATACTGCCTATGTGGTTATGTGATTTGGTATCATTCCAAGGATACCCAGAAGGGGGGTGTTGGTGTGTGTGTACCTGTATGTTTGAGTGTGTGCATGCATGTGTGTATACGTGGCATATGTGGTGTGTGTGTGTGTGATGTGTATGTATGTATATTGTGTATGTGGGGTATATGTGTATGTATGGTGTATGTGTGTAGTGTGTGTACAGGTGAGTGCATTTGTATATGTGTGTGTATATGTGTATGTGCAGTGTCTCTCTATGTGTATGTATGTATATATGTGGGTATGTGTGGTATGTATGTATGTGTGTGTGAATGCAGTGTGTTTGTATGCATATATGGTATATTTGAGGTATGTGTGGTGTGTATAATATGTATGTGTGTACGGCGTGTGGGCATGAACCTAAGAAAGTACAAAGGCGTGTATACTACATTTTAATAAAGGCTAGATAGTGAAAAACTGACCTTGTAAAGGTGAAAAAAATTGTCCAGATTTAAAGTGGATAGCCTATAATAATGACAAGACTTCGGTGACAGGATTCCCAGAAGTCTGTATTCTGTCACAATACTCAAATCAAGGAAGAGCTACTGATAGCAGTGAATGGAAAGTAAGGGAGAGCAGGGCTGAAGTCCAAAGAGAGCCAAATGCATCTCGGCTAAACAGCTGTGTTGAAAAACAATTTCTTGTCTAGCAATTAAGAACCTATTTCTTTCTGAAAGACACAGGACATTGGGTTAATAGATTTCTTTAGAAGAAAATCTGTTTTGGCGACTGAAACATTAAAAGAACAGAACATCTGTTCCCCGGCAAAGGCATACTGCACAGAAGCAGCAAGTACCACACACTGACTGGACCTGCTTGCCGTCTGTCCTATTTAAATTTTTAGTAAAAGGAAACCAACTTGCCTTCTTGAAATTATAGCCCAGCTCCAAATACTTAACACTAGGACCTTTACAGGAAGAAAATTATTAGTGTAACGGAAATAATAATTAACACACTTCAATCATTCTAAAATCTCAACTTCTATATCAAAACCAAGTTTAAAGCAACCGATTCCAAAAGTCATTTTTAATATAGTTTAAAGGGAAGAACTCACCATCCATGAATTCTGTACAAATTGAAATCCTATTTTCTACAAAGAATGCCCCGTAAAATCCTATGATATACGATGAATCACACTGCAACACAAATAAGACAAAAGTGGATTAAGACCTGGAAGCTAACACATACACATGTTTATAGATAAAAGTGACCAAGAAAAAAATTACCTTATAAAGAATTTCCAACTCAGACATGATCTGCTTCTGAAGCTCCAGTGTAATGTCTAACAGAATAACCTGAGTCAGACATACAACAGCATCAGCACATATCTACCTTTAAGTTACACAGCATGTGAAATACAAGAACTAAAGAAATGTGGTAGTTTCTTTATGTAGCTCCCCCCCAATTATAATCCCAGCACCAAAAATTGTCTCAATATCTGCCTAAGCCTTTGTACAGGAGGATGCGGTACAGAAGTGATTGATGGGACCCTGGAAGAAGCCAGGTCTCAGAGGTCAGTATTAATGGCTTTAAAAGTCAGTTAAGTTATAACACTCAATTTATGTACCCTATTTTAGCCACACTGGTTATTTTCAGAAGAAGATCATTAAAAGAGAAGAGCCCTGAGTGCCACAGACTCAAAGATAAGCAGAGGGGATGGTAAATAAAATAACATTTTAAAATGGGATTTTTAGAAATAAAAGAAACTGGAGTTTAAAACCCTGTCACCTTATTTCCTCTCACGGGGGTAACACTTCTTCACAAATGCTGACAGAATGGAGTGCTAAACAGCTTCTCAGGTCACCTGATTCCACGCTTTGCCAGGGCCTCCTGAAGTGTGCTTTTCCTTAAGGGTGCCACTAAGGTGATTGCCTAGGGCACGCTCAGGTTTAACTCAGACTCTTCTCTTTCCTCAGGCAGGTTTGTGCACTGGGGCTTGAACTCAGGCCTTCTCACAAATGCTGCTCAAGGCTGCTACCACAGAGTCATACCCCAGCTCAACCACTAAACACGTCAGTGGAAATAAATTTAAAACGTTGTTCTTTAGGCCAAGTAGTGGTGGCACATGCCTTTAGTCCCAGCACTCAGGAGGCAGAGACAGATGGATTTCTGTGAGTTTGAGGCCAGCCTGGTCTACAGAGTGAGTTGCAGGACAGGCTCCAAAGCTACACAGGGAAACCCTGTCTCGAAAAACAAAAACAAACAAACAAAATGTTGTTCTTTTAAAACTATATTTTCAAAAGACAGTAATGACATAAAATAGGTGGATAACACTTTTTAAGAACTGTGGCAGAGTTTGATTCTAAACAGTTCTAGGTAAAAACTTAACATTCATGATTGCCATAACAGCATCATTCTACAACTTACACTAAATTACACTGTATCACAAATGAAAAATAAGTATCATTACACTGAATACAACAAAAATTAGGAATTACAAACTACAAGGATTGAAAATGACTATCTTAATAGACATATTTTTGTTGTTATTTTTTGGTTTTTGAAACAGGACTTCTCTGTGTACCTCTGGCTATCTTGGAACTGTCTTTGTAGACCAGGCTGGCGTCAAGCTCACAGATACACCTGCCTCTGTTTCCTGAGTTCTGGGATTAAAGGCGTGAGTCACCACCTCTGGCTAATATGCATATTATGTATATTTTTAATGCTGACACCCATTTCAGTAAGAAAGAAAGGCATGCAGGGGGGGGGGGTAGGGTTGGGTACTGCCTTTTCTATCAATGCACACCCCCTAGTCAATACTTTGGAATTAATCCCAGTCTACAGAGATCTGTTCTGTCCCTTGATTGAGAACCTTGTATGAGTTTCCATCACCTGGAGTAAACTGCAACTCCAGAGCACCAGGAGGTTGTGCCTCGTGCTAACCCCTCCCCTTACTTGTCCTACACAGCCTCCTTCCTGCCCATCCACATCACCTTACTGGTGTTTCCTCTCTCCACTCCACAGTCACTAATTACAAAAGCCTGTTTGACCTTTCAGACCCAGCTTGAATGCCTCACCACCTCCAGACACCCACCTCAAATCCGAGTTCATCTCTGGCTTGACCCTTACTCATCTTTACTACAGCTGGCTTTAATGCCCCCAGACATCTCCTCAAAGCTCCCAGAGCAGAGTGCTATACGCTTAGAGGGCAAGGCGGGCTCTGAGTATTCTTTATTTCTCAGCACCCAGCACAAGGGCTCACAGTAGCACCCTTCACTGAGAAGGACCTTAATTAAAGTGTTCCTTAATAACAGACCTCCAGACACAAGGGATGTCTGCAACTAAACCAGAAACCAACAAACTAAAGTGCCTCACTGACCAAGACTAGAGTGGGGACTATTGTATTCATGGAGCTGGTCTCTAATGGGTTTGGAGCTCTCTTCCATAATCCAGAAAAAGCACATCAGGTCATTTTTTGCAAATTTGAGAGGGGAAATCCTCTCCATGCTGCCACAGTGCATGTGCATTCACTCTGTTTCTGGGAGCCTGGCACTTGGTGAAATGTTAACTCCTTTCCCCTGGGCATTCTTACTAGTGAGCTTCAAAACTGCTAAAAATAAACAGACCAATCCATCCTCTAAAGGTAAATGAGAAAAGCACAGTGAATGTTGATTTTTCCTTTTGAAGTTTGGGGACAGTGTGGACTGCCTGAGTCATCACTCCTCGGGCAGAGCCAAGTGCTTCAGACTGAAGAGAAGGAGCTAGAGAAAAGGTTCGGCCTGCATGGAGGTACCTGCCTGCCTTCCCATTGCTCTCCCTCTGCTAACACCTCCAGGACACACAAGGATGCGGATGTGCTGTCAAGTTAAATACAAGCAGTCAAGTGACTGAATTATAATTTACTCTGTGCTCAATTTAAATTAGTGTGAGACTATTAAAATATACAGTATAAATACGGCAATTCATCACAAGCTGTCATGGATGACTTCATTTATTTGCTGGAGTGGCGTGCGCTCCACTAAAGGCAAGGAGAACAAAATCACAGGTCAAATTAAGCTGCTATTCTGTTTTAATTCACTTATTTAATCTGTGGCGACATAATTGTCTTTTACAGTATGTACAACTCAGAAAGGAAATTTGGGAGGATTACAGCCAGGATACAAATGATTAATCAAATGGTCCATTTAAATGCTGTTTTAAAAGCTGCAGAAATCCAAAGCACTCGGGGAATGATAATCAACATATACATGCAAGGCTAAGAAATCCCGTTAGATGGATTCTTTTCCCACTTAGAAAACAAACAATCTCGGGGAATCCAGTAAATTCCCCAAGCATTACTATTGGAAAGATTTTATAGGAGGCATTAATGGTAAAGAAAGGTTCTGTTTGCTAGATGGCTAGCAGTATTTGTGTTTGTTTTCTGCTCTACTTATTTGCAATGGTCTCACTACTGATAGCAAACAAACAAAAGCTGGCCAAATGTGTTTCAGTGAGTATGCAGGTGGGTATCAATTATTCCTAACATGAGGTTAGCATCATTTTCTACATGTGCATTGTGAAGTAGGAAAAAAAAAAATCTAAATTGCATGGTATGGAGAACTTCCGATTTTTCTTAAAATTAGCTTCTTTTTAAAAAATTGCTAAAAAGTTCTCTTGTCACATCTCAAGTCTGAGGGAAGAAATGCTGCCCTGTGCTGATTGTCTTTAAAAAGTAAGGCTCAATTAAAAATGTATAAAATTGTAAATGCTATTAGCAGACGCTTGAAGTGTGGCCAACTGACCAGTGAGTTGGGAAATAAACTCCCAGGGCTCCAGGCGGGCAGCAGAGCCCTGCAGGTGATTCGGATCAGACAAGATTTGCTGCTCTGCACAGTTCCTCTGTGACACCAGGCATCTGGGGTCATTGAGAGGTTCAAGTGACATGCTTCAAGTCACACAAAAGTCAGGAGAGGGTCAGGAAAAGATCAAATGTGCTTCTAACTCTTAACCTTCCATTTCACCCTTTAATATAACAAAAGAAGCTAAGAAATATTCTGGGGGAGTGCAATGGCCCATACAAAGAATACTAGCAGGTATTCTGTATATCGCTGAACCTGTTTTCAGTAGGTTACTTCAAAAGATAAACAAACAAAACAACAAAAATGAATGAATGAATTAAACAACAATAAAAACTATATTCAATCAGTAAATTATGTGTTGAGACATTCACTGCATGTAGTGCTGGGCCCTATAGGTAAGGCAAGGAAATGTTTAGTTCGGTTCTCCACTTTTAAAGAGATTTCAGTACTTAAGGGGAAATGGACATGATACTAACAGACATGTGCAAGGTGGCATGTGCTCACCTTTAAGAATTACATGCAGAGAATTCTGGAAGATGGCTGGCAGATACAACACATGTGACAGGGCTTAGGCAGAATCAGAGCAGGCCCTTGAAGGTTGTTAGGGATTCTAATAGTTGAAGACACGGATGAAGGCATTCTAATTAGGGAGGCGCACATGAATTAAGTGTTGCAATGGGGAGGAAAAAAAAACAAGCCCAGGTTCAGATGAGGTCACAAGTTCAAGTAAAACAAAACAAAATGTACAGAGATCAGGAAACCTAAGAACATACTATAAAAATAATAGTAGACTGCAAATGCACTGTGGAGGGTTCCACCTTCCCTCCAAGAGGGTTTTCAGTTTGTCTAGGCTGTATGGTGGTTGATATTGCTTGTTTTGTATTGATTGATCTAACTAACAGGTCCAGAATCACGAATCACCTAGGAGACGAGACTTTCGGCATGTCTGTGAGGGAGCTGGACTGGGTTAACTAAGAAGGGAGACCCACCCTAAATGTGGGCAGCATGACTCCATGGGCTGGGATCCTGGAACAAACGTAAGAAAGAAGAGGAATGGAACACACAGACACAGAGTGGCCAGCCACCTCACACTCCTGCTGCTGTGATAGCTACACCCTCCAACTGTACGACAAATAAAGCCTCCCTTCCTTAAATTGCTTCTCTGAGGCATTTATCACAGCAGTGAGAAAAGAACCAGTAGAGAAGTAAGATGGAGCCTTTAACACTTTTGAGAGAGGAACTATGCTTCCGGGAACTGAATCTAAATGTGGAGATCAACAAAGGCAGGGGTTTCCGTCCTGGCTCCAAGGTTCTCTAGGTAGAGGACCTTGGCCAAGCTGTTTAACTGTTCTGTGCCTCAGGTTCTGCATCTGCTAAATGAGAAGCAGTAACAGTAGCAAAGGTCATAAATGAAGATAATATATGCAAAATACGTTGTAGCATAAGTCACCAATAAGTTGACCCTTCTGTTCTGAAGCTGGCTGACAGTCTCATAATAGGCCAAAGGCAGGCATTTGGATTACAATGGTGACAAGAAAAGAAAGGAACGAAAAATCAGACAAACAAAATAACCCAGATTACTGAACATCTTGGCACACACCTTTAATGCCAGAACTAGGGAGGCAGAGGCAGGCAGATCCCTGTAATTTGAGGTCAGCTCAAACTACATAGAAAGCTACAAATAAGCCAGGGCTACATGGCAAGACCCTGCCTCAAAAAAGAACAACAGCAAAAAATTCACAAGCTCCTCTCCAACAAACCACACACACACACACACACACACACACACACACACACACACACACACACACACAGAGCAGTAGCCAGAACAGCACAACCTAGAGCATGAACCTTAGGCTGCTCAGTTCCCTGACTCCTGGTCCCTGTATAGGGTGGGAAAGCAGGCGGAGCTCACAGTCTCCTTAAACTAAAAAGACAGCCTAGGAGTACAGCCGACCAACACTGCTAGGATTGGCTGGCAGAGTACCAGAGGGAGTGCGACAGACCTTAGAGTCCACAGCAGAGTGATGAGCTCTATGTGGAAACAGGAAATTACCCAGGCCAGGGAGAAAGAACCAGAGGGGAATAGCCCTGCAGCCTGCAGTTTGTACTCCTTCAGCCAGGGTGGAATCAGGAATCCCTTCAGGAGAATGGGGAAAATACATTCCAGGCTGATTGTTGGGTTTGCCCTTCACATAAAGTTCAGAATTAAGTCTTAAAAAAAAAAAAAAAAAATCTGATTGTCTCAAAGTCACTAACATCTCAGAACAAATTTTTAGAATATTTATAGGAATGTAAAACTATCTAGCTACCTGTACTACATTGTCAGTATCCCATAAAAAAGAAATACAACCCAAAACGAAGAGAAAAGAATACGCTGAAAGTAATCCAAAAGTGACATTGCACAATAGCATTAGCAGCTATGTCCAGTTGTTGACTTGTCTGTCCTAGTCAGGGTTACTATTGCTGTGTTGGAACAGCATGACCACAAGCAAATTGTGGAAGAAAGGGTTTCTTTGACTTACATCTCCACATCACTGGAGAAAATGACTACAGGAACTCAAGCAGGGCAGGAACCTGGAGGCAGGATGAGATGCAGAGGCCATGGAGGGGTGGGGCTTACTGGCTTGTTCCTCATGGCTTGCTCAGTCTGCTTTCTTACAGAACCCAGGACCACCAGCTCAGGGATGGTTCCACCCACAATGGGCTGGGCCCTCCATCAATCACTAAGTAAAAAAACATCCTATAGTCTTGCTTACAGACCACTTTTATGGAGGTATTTTCTTAATCGAGGTTGTCTCCTCTCAGATGACTTCAGCTTGTGTCAAGTTGACATAAAACTACCCAGCACAGTTGCCATAATTATTTCATATACTCTAGAAGGTTTAAAAAAAAAAAAGGTTGGGCACATCAAAGAACAACATGGAAAATGTTCTTAAAGCAAAAGGGCCTACTTAACACTTCTAGGGATAAAAAAAAAAAAAAAAAAGAAAGAAAAAGAAAAAGAAAAAAGAATAAAAGAGTATTTGAAATGAGGGAAAAAAACAAAAACAAACAACCACACTGGGGCAGGAGGAAAAACACATTAGACAATGAAGAGGAAAAGATCAGTGTATCGAAAGGTTCTGGAGGAGAAACATTGCACAACTTAAACAAGTAAAAGACTGAAGTGAACAAACAGGCCAAGTTCTCAATGTGAGAGCATGATTTGATGAAAGGTTACAGTGTTCCAAATCTGATGCAAGCTAAAATCCAGAATATTCAAGAATTTCAACAAACCTCATGCATATTGAATAAAAAAAGAATCACAGTCAAGCCCAGCATACCTTTGTACTATACACTGTAACCATGACCTCTAACAAAGAAAGAACTCAAAATGAACAGACGCCAGAGAAGCCAGGTGAGGAACATGCAGAAGAACTAACACAAAGGACAGCCAGCACTTAGCTGGGAAATGTAAAGACAACATTGGGACAAGATCTTTAAAATTCAAAAGAAAAGCCCAATTAGTCTAGATCCTGCCTCTAGTGACGATCCTGGACTAACCCTCTGAAAGTGTAATCAAGTCCCCAGTTAAATGCTTCCTTTGATAAGACTTGCCTTGGTCATGGTGTCTCTCCACAGCAACAGAGAACTAACACAGTTCCTATTGTAAAAATCTTATATGATAGACAAAAGATGCATGCTATAAACTCTAGGCAACCATTTAAAACAGTGGAGGCGGAGTGGACCCAGTTACTTAACTGGGTGTGGCAAAGGACCAGTAGCTGGTCCAGAAAGGATTAAAGGTCACTCTTTTAAGAATATATTTTTCAGAAGTGCTGAAGAGATGGTTCATTGGGTAATAGCACTAGCTGCTCTTCCAGAGGACCTGGATTCAATTCCCAGCACCCACATGGCAGTGACTACTGTCTATAATTCCAGTTCCAGGGGATCCAATACCCTCACATAGATGGTCAAACCACCAATGTACATAACATTTTTAAAAAGTAAAAAAAAAAAAATATGCTTTACAAAATAGCTGTTATAGTTTCACTATATGATGAGGATGGCTGGAGTTTACAAATAAGCCATTCTCTAGGCTGTACCTTTGAACTGGGCTTTCTAGCAAGACCTGTATTATGCCTGCAAATCAAGTCAAATGGTGATTGACTTTTGTGTATAGATTTGGTCTTGATATCCAAGCAAAAATCATACAGGAAAAAATATCATACAATGGTTATAATTGGATAAAATGTACCATTTATTCAAAACAGCCAGAGTGGTGTATTAATTCTTAGAAATTTATCATTTAGTTTCCAAATATTTGGAGAATTTCCCAGTATTTTTCATGGCCTAAGAACATTTTGTATAATTGAGATTATTCTAAGTTAATTTGGCTCAAAATATGGTTTCTGTTTGTGAATCTTCCTTGTGCACATAAAATGAGTCTACAATCCAAAGAATATGAAAAGTGTTGTGTAAGCCTTTGTTTGCTCAAGTTGGCTTTTGTATCTAAATAGATTTTGTTCTACTTGTTCTATTAATTACTGAAATCAGTGTTAAAATCTCCAACAATAGTTGGACCTTTAGTTTGGTTCTTTATTCTTAAATTTCCATCACTCTTTGCAATCATTTTTTTGAAGTTGTGCTATTAGTTTCAATAGGGTTCTTATCATTTAGATGAGTTGGCCTCTTTATCTTAATGCAGTGACTGTTTTGTTCATGGCAATCTGCACTCTGAAATCCATATTGGCTAATATTACTCTAGCTACAACAGCTAGATTTCTGTTTATGTTGGCCTTTTCCTTTGAACATAGTGCATCTGTACATTGGAAATGAGTTTCTTGTAGACAGCATATGTTACTTTATTCTAGATATACTAGATCTTACTTTACAATCTAGTCTGATGATCTCCACTTTTTAATTAGAGTGTTGGAACCATTTATATTTTCTGTGATATGGTATGATTGGATTTATATCTCTTATTCTGTTCATTGTTTTCCATTTGTTCTGGTTGTATTAAGTCCAGCACTGTAAGAGGAGGAGACAGGAGGACCAGTCTAGCTCCAGGTTCAGTGAAAAACCCTGTCTCAAAGGAATATGGTAGTAATAAGGAAGGTCTCCAAGCATCCTCCTGATTTCCATGTGTACATAAGCCACATGGACCACACACACACTTAGTCACTTACAAATTTGCTTAAAATATACCCAATGCTTACCTTTACAGCTAAAATTTTCCCACTTGGGACATGATATGCTCTATAAGAAGAAAAAGAAAAAAAAAAGAAAGAAAAAAAATTAGTTGATATCATTATGTAATCTACAGAATGGCTAAGGACATGGTGTCAACCCAAACATGTTTGCAACAATGGGAGATATACATGGTACTTTCAAGGCAAATGGCCCATGCTAGCAACATATATTTCTGTGGTGCTAGATGGTTTATGTTTACTAAAATATTGCTCAAAAGTCACACTGTTATCATTACTCTCCTCTTAAAGATAGAGTGCTGAAGCATGGGAAAGTTGGCATTTGCCCAATGCCCAGTAGCAGAACCAGACCTAGGGATCAAGTTTTCTGGCTCTAGATCCCTTGCTGTGTCATTGTGTGCATCTATAGTCATGCATAAGCAGCAAAATGAAGGTTTCACTGCATTTCATCAAAATAATCACTAATCACAGGATGGATTTTAATGTAATTTTTCATGAGACATACCGCTATGAGGCTTGAGCATGTGGCTCATTTTTCCTCCTTAATCAGAAGTAGGGTCAGTGTGGTATTTGAATGAGGGTGACTCCCAAAGGTGCATACATTTCAATGTTTGCAGTTGGTGACACTGTTTGAGAAGGATTAGGAGGTGTGGCTTTGTTGGAGGAGGGGTGTCACTGGGGCAGGCTTTGGGTATTCCCAGTGTCTCTCACTCTGATTTCAAACTGCAGTTCAAGATATAACCTCTCAGCTGTTCCTGCAGCCATCCCTTTGCTCCACCATCACAGACTCTATCCCTCTAAAATCATAAGCCATGAATTAAACGCTTTATTTTTAAAGCTGCCCAGATCATAGTGTTTTATCACCATAACAGAAAAGTAACTAAGACACTCAGATACACTGAAATAGCATAACCTAGATTAAGAAATATTAATAGGATTGAAGATATAGCTTGTAGAGTAATTACTTGCCCAGCATTTACAATACACACTATTATATCCCCAGCACAAGAGAAAGAAAAGAAAAGGAAGCATTCATTCATTCATTTATGGAAAGTAAGAAATTAAGATGTGCAGAAATAAAGTAATTTTCCATCAAGACTTAATGTATATAAATGAAATGGGACCTTTTACTACACACTGCATAAACTACAATTCTCACTATTAATGGGACACAAACTATTTTATATATAAAAAATTTAATGCCTTTAATCCCAGCACTCAGGAGGCAAAAGCAGGTGGATCTTTGTGAGTTTGAGGCCAGCCTGGTCTACAGAGTGAGTTCCAAGATAGGCTCCAAAGCTAAACAGAGAAACCCTGTCTCAAAAAAACAAAACAAAAACAAAAAACAAACAAAAAAACCAGTTAAAATGAACTATATAACCCAAGCAGGTATTGTAACTGCAAACCCACAAAAGTACCAAAAGCAAATGCCCTGGGAAGAACTACATCAGCTCCACGGAAGATTTCACAAATTCCCATCACTCAGCTAGTGGCTGAGATGTCAGTGGACAGGAACAGTGTCCACTTACACTATACTAGTATATAGTATATTCTATATTTTCCCCAGTGGCTGCAGAAGTTCTTGGACTATGCTCCTTTAAAATATATGTGAGGTTTAGATGCTTTTTTCCATGTAAATATAAATAATTCAATATGTACTATAAAATAATAACACTATTTCCACTGGTGTACCATAACTGCTTCCAACTTCAGCTTTTTAAAATACTGAGTAGTAAGTCACTAGTCAAGGACTAAAGAATGACTAAAATTTGAAGCTGTGGGGAGAGCAGTGCTGGTACTTTGAACAAGGGGTAACACATGGACTTCTGAGACCAGCTGTGGCGATAAGAACTTGATTAGCTGAGAGCCCAGCATACATACACCTCACCAAGCAGTTTGGCAACTTAATTACCTTGTCAAGAAAGCTGATCTCTTTCCCAAAAGAAAGGGTTCCCATTTCCAAGTGAATTAAAAGGGAGACTTGATGATTTAATTATGACGGATGCTAATTCATCCATGCAAGTTTGGGTTCCATTTCGAGCAATAAAAAAGCCTTGTGGCTTGGTTTACAGTCTGGTGACAGGGCCGATTTCACATTTAATCATCAGGGAGAAATGGACAACAAAGGCAATGCCAGGCATGAGCTAAGCCAACTCCCTCTGCAACTCTGCAAACAGCATCCTACCTGGAGAAAGAGTTTGTTTACTTTCAGCAGATAGTACATCTCAATTGTCTTGACCTTCCTCAGCACATTAACTGTAAAGTGATTAATGAAGTCTGAATGGAGGCTCTGGTTACACCAAAAGACAACTATACACCTCTGCAATGTTTTAATTAACAGCTAACGCTTCAAATTAGTTTGTTGTTGCCACAGTAATTACCTGTTCCAAAGAGCTAAGGGAGGAAGCATTTGTATGAGGCATTTCTTAGTGCTTCTCCCTGTGTGCTCCACTTTGTCTTTTGGGACTAGAACCCCTGGAAAACTGAACACCTGGGGATGGCACAAGATATAATAAATAGTCTGGTGTAAATGTCTGAATGTGAGAAACCTGTGAGGGTTTTTTTTTTTTTTCCTCGTAATTAAATCATTTCAAGTGGGAAGATACACCTTTAGTTCAGCTCTTTTGAGGTGGGAAGATTCACTTTAACCTAGGTCACAACTTCTGCCGGCAGCCTATGTAAAGGACATGGAAGAAAGGAGCTCTCTGGCACTGGGAAAATGCCCAGAGATCTACAAGGATGACCCCAACTAACAATCTAAGCAATAGTGGAGAGGCTACCTTAAATGCCCTTCTCCGATAATGAGATTGATGACTGACTACCTTATATGCTATCCTAGAGCCCTCATCCAGTAGCTGATGGAAGCATCCACAGCTAAACACTAGCCAAACTCCTGGAATCCAATTGCAGAGATGAGCAAAGGGGTCAAGACCAGGCTGGAGAAACCCACAGAATCAAGGGGAGCTCATGGACTCCAGAGTGATAGCTGGGAAACCAGCACAGGATGGACCCAGACCCCCTGAATGTGGGTCTCAGTTAGGAGGACTGGGCAGTCTATGGGGCCTCTGGTAGTGGATCAGTATTTATCCCTAGTATTCCAACGGACTTTAGGAGCCCATTCCACATAGAGGGATACTCCCTCAGCCTAGACACATGGTAGAGGGCCTAGGCCCTGCTCCAAATATTATGACAGACTTTGAAGACTCCCTATGTAAGGCCTCACCCTCCCTGGGGAGCAGAAAGGGGATGGGATGAGGGTTGGCAGTGGGGGGGCAGGGGAGGGAGGGTGAGGGATCATAACCATGTGTTTCTCCAGTTCTAGGGGATGACAACCTCTTCTGGCCTCTTCAAGCAACTGCATCCATGTGGTACATGTACAGACAGTCAGTCACACAAAAACACATGAATAAAAATAATCCCCCAAATATTTTACAGATTCATTTTATCTGATTGTTCAATTGTTGATTGCTGGGAGATATTTTCCCACTGTGTGAATTTATCAAATGTTCTGGGTAATTGTATAAGATTTTGTTTCATGTAAGATGATATTATTAATTACATATTAAATATGATTGCTAAGTTAGTCTCCTTTCCTTATACCAATGCACAAGTCCTTTTCTGTCCCTAATAATTATTTTTGACTTTTAGTTTGTCATATATCAATATATAAGCTTTTAAGAAAAAAGTTTTGTGGTTGCTATTGTGTTTGTCTATCTTTTCCCACTTTTTACTTTTAACCTTATTGTGTCTTTGTGCTTTCAAAATTTCTTCTAAACTAATCTAAAATAGCTATATTTTTTAAAAACTCAGCATAACTAATATATTAAATGGCAATCTTTATTTGTGTTTATTGTAACTACTTATATATTTTGGGTGTATTCTCACCACTTTATTCATTTGTTTTATACTCACTCTGTCTACTATATTGTTGTCGCCTATACCACTTTTAGAACTGGAGCAGATTTAAAATATAGAGTTAAGTGTTCTCTATCCTTTTCCAAATAATATAAAAACCTTAGAATGCCTTAATTCCAATCACCTCTCCTCATCTTAATACATCATCTTATGCAAGCAGTGACACAAGTTCAAAGGCCCAGGGTAGAAATGTGTGTGAAACAAGGATGAACAACACGCCTAACTGAGGGACAGGAGCCAAAGAGGCCTTGGGAAGCTGGGCTGTGTCGCACTGCTTAGGTCACAGTGAGGTCTCTGGCTTTTATTCCAAATTGTAGAAGGCACAGATAGAAGCAGAAAGTGAATGTCTGAAAATGCACACTAGCTGATGGATGGTGAGACTGAAGCTAAGGGTGTGCTGAGAAACGATTGCAATGATCCCTACAAGAGGTGCGAGGGACATGAGTTGGAGGGGCACAGAAGGCAGGGGTGAGAGGAGATTAGCTTCCTATCTAAAGATTGATTCATGTATTTATTAAGTATTCAGTGTTCTGACCTCAGGCCAGGAGAGGGCACTGGATCTCATTACAGATGGTTGTGAGCCACCATGTTGTTACTGGGAACTGAACTCAGGACCTCTGAAAGAGCGGCCTGTGCTCTTAACCTCTGAGCCATCTCTCCAGCCCTCAGCTTCCTATCCAAACTGAGGCCAGAGAGAGGAAAGGAGATGGCCAAGGACATGAGAAGGGATTCTGGTAAGCCTACAACAGACCCTAGAGGCTGTGAGTGCTGGTGTTATGTCTGCCCTTTATACCAAGCACTCAGTGGCTGGGCAGAAAACATGGAACTAAACAAACTTTGGAACCAATGCAAGTGACTTTATTGTTTCCTCTTTCAATGCAGCTCAGAAGGTGGTAAGTGTGCTTACTTCATCTAACTCCTAATGAAAATTTTAGGAATGATCGCCACAGGCTGGAGAGATGGCTCAGTGGTTAAGAGCACTGGCTGCTTTTCCAGAGGACCAGGGTTCAATTCCCAGCACCCACAACAGCTGACAGTATTGCCCCTGTCCTGTGAGGGCTGGCTTGTTTGCTTCATAAACCATGCCTACAGGAGCTCTCCCCACAAAGCTTATGGCAGAGGTTAATGGAAGGA